TAGTTAAAAAACGAGCCATTATAAGATTCTTAGGAATTTTTGTTGATGAAAATTTATCCTGGCTTCCTCAAATAATATATATTCATTATAAGATCACCAATATAATTGGTATGATGTATTGAGTTTGTTTTTATATCAATAAACAAAGTCTCAAACTAATATATTATGGATTAGTTGATTGTTTCATCAGTTATGCAAATATATCATTCGCAAGTACTCAACCATCAAAACTAAAAAAAATGTATAGCTTACAAAAACATGCGTGCGAAATCATTTACTCTAAATGTAAGCGTGAACATGCTAAACCTATAATAAATGATATGAAAATGATGGATATATTTTAAATATCTATCAGCATTTAATTTTTATGTATTGAATTAACAATAATCTCTCTCCTTAACAACAAGTTTGAAATAAATAAAAATGAAAACTATTATCTAAGAGCAAATATAAGTAACACATACAAACTGCCTCAAAGCGTTAATAAATATAATGAATATAGCATTGCATATGGAGGTCTAAATATATGGAATATCTATTAAAAAGAATTTAAATGTATAGCAAAGTCATTAAACTCATTTAAGTTTCAAATCAAAAAAGAAATTTTTAAAGCTTGAGCAACTCTGAAGTTTGTTGATTATATTCTTTCAGTTTTTTATTTTTATTGGATTTACTGATCAGCGCAGCAGTTTTATGCCAATTAGGGTTATTAAATAAACATATATATTCTACTGAAAGTATATATAGGGGCTCTATGAAAAGATTGCGATGACGAATTGTCATCTCCATTTTCTTTGAGTCCCTGTCTGTTTAATTCTTTTTTTTACAAAGATCATTGTAATAAGAAAAAAATATGTTTTATATTGTATATTCAAAAACGGTGCTTGTTGGCAAGATTTTACTAGGGTTTGCAATCCCGAAGGTCTTTCTCAATCCCGGGATTGAGAAACATCAATCCCGGGATCCCAGGATTGAAAAATAGATACAGCATCTATATAGTATTAAGTAGAATAAAAACTGTACACTCTTAAACAAAAATATATGGTATAAATGATGCTGTTTGTATTACATCGTCACATGCATACAAAAAAAACATGTTCATGTTAAGAAATTTCATTAAAAATAAGGAAATATATAATTTTGCATGTGCTTTGAAATGTGACTTCAGGAAGCACAACGGATCCAATGTTTCATCGTCCAATCTGTTACGAATTTTATTATTAAACGGCCCAGCGGAAGAAAACGCCCGCTCAGCCTCGACGGTTTCACCGTCATTAGAAATGAACAAACTCTTTCTAAATAATCACCACGTGTACCACCATTTTCAAATAATGTCAGTTCTTTTTAAATTTTAGATAGCAGTGTTTCAAGTCTAACTGGTTGCATCGGTGATTGCGCTTCTTTAATTATACGATCAAGCTCCTCTTCAATACTTAAAGCGTTATTTTCAGTTTCAGGTTCTTCAATAAAATCCAGCATATCAGACTCAATTGATGCTCTTACTAAAGCAGGATTGGAAGCGTTTAACCTTTCCATAAATTCTACCAACAGTTTTCGTCATTTATATGAAGAAGGCACTGTAATTATTTATTCATTGACTTCAACGGAGCTTCGACCTTTATGCAGGTATTGCAGAAGCCCACTCATATCAGTTGATGTATACGAGCCATTAAAGCTGTGCACATTTCCTTGTTTGAGTCATTGTCAGCATCTTTTAATTTTGTTAGCATAAAACTATTAGCAATGTCAGCTGTAAATAGATTAGAATCTCGGCAACAAAGTGCTTTAACCGTTGCTTTGATTGGAACTATAGTTGTAATTATGTCTGATAATATTGTCAAGTTATTATGCGACAGAGCTATGGAATTATCTTGCACTGTTTAAATATCAGCTAATGATTTTTGCATACAATTTTTTACTTTATAAAATCGTTTAAGCATTAACAAAAGGCTGCTTCACCTTTTTTTGCAATCCATAATTAAAAACAGATGTTTTCCCAATTCAACCTTAATATATTTTTGTAAGATGTCGTTCTTGGAAGGCGATTGTCTAAATATTATTATCGGCGGACCTGTACACGGCGCACCCCAAACTTGGTAAAGTTCGTAAACAAACTTGGTGAAGTTCGAAACAATAGCTTTGCCGTTTTTTGATTGGCTAATATTAACGAATAAAAATTTTGCATTAAAGTTTTCAATTCGCGCTGCCTTAGCCCTTTCTTTATCACCTACAAAATAAGTAAGACGACACCTTTAGCTTAGTTTATTGAAAGTATCAAAGAAGAAAAATTGGTTGATTTTTTGCAACAAAAAAGTGCGACTTCAAAATCTTTGTCTATGTGGTCAAATAATGGTTGTGCTAAAGTATGAACGTTGTCAAGTATGATTTACTTAACATTTTTATTATTATTTACACAGAACAGATTATCCCTTGTATCTTTAAACTACTGAATAAATAAATTTGAATGGTCTGTATATACATAGACGAAGTCAATTCGAGCTAGATTTTTTGAAAGCTCCACATCTTTAAGTATAAGTCTGATACTTCAATTAATGTTTTTATGGGTTCTCATGATTCCTGTATCCACTGCATCTGAGGTAGTAGGTGTAAACGAAAAAACATTGTTGATCCTGAAACTAGAGCGACAACAAATCGTGTTGAGTCGTTTTGGTATCGGATGAAATGAAAGTTGAAGTATGTTTTTGGATCACAGGGTGATTTAAAGTAGTCTAGGCTAGACGAAGCTGTATACGGAGAATATTATAAGTTTTATAATAAAAATGTTTGGGAAAATTTCTTTTTATTCATAAAACATATTAATGATAGGTATCCTATGTAATGTAAAATAAGTGTTATAATATAATATTTACATTGAAAATGTTCCATAATATTTATATTGAACTTGTTTTTTTTATGCTCAACACAAAATTTACATTGCAAAAACTATAAAAAGGTAAGCCACAAAAAGATATGCAAAAAAAAAAAGCTACAAGAAGTTATCTTTAGAAGATTGATTAAAAGAAGATAAGCCACAAAATGATATGTTAAGACGAGAAGATACCTTTAGAAGATCTATTTAATCTAATATTTAATCTACAATATTTAATGTAGATAACTTGATAATTTGTAAAATTTTAAATCTTAATGTAAAATGTTAAAGTTTTATTAAAATGCATTTACGCAAACTTTTTGATTTATTATTTTCAACGCTACCATTATGGCGTAAAAAATGTAATATTTTAGCGCCCATTCTGTAAAATACTAATATGCGAACACCGAGAATTATCGTTCCGAGAACTTACAAACTTCAACGAGTTTGGGGTGCGCCGTGTACAGGTCCGCCTTATTATCAACTTGCGTACTTTTTTAATAACGGGTCCGTAATGAAATTCATTTAGTTCAATTTTAGATCTAAAAGTTTCATGATTGTAGCCCAGTAAATCTCCCTCAATATCCTCATTCTCGGATAAATCACTGCCAAAAAATTCCTTCACAGCTAAGTTACTTTTAGTTGTAAAATCCACATACGCCATGCTTATTTAAGTTTTAATTTTAAAAGTAAACCTTGTAAGAAACGCGCGTTTTTTTTCAGTATAAAAAAGTTTATTTTGCAGAATTACAGAACAGAATAACTGAAAATCGGCGATATTAAACTAAATAAAAATTATTATACTGATGCGCATAAATTGTTGTTATTTTTATATATTTTTTCAATTTTCCTTTTGTTTTGCTTTTAAATTCCTGTTTGTTTCAATCCCGGGATTGTCTAATATCAATCCCGGGATTGATATAGACAATGCCGAGATTTTTGGATTATAAAAAAAGCCGGGATCCCGGGATCGCAAACCGTATATTTTACTGCCTTTATCGTTTTTACGGACATATTTTTCTTTCTTGTATAAAAGTATGTTGATTATTTTTGTTAAACAGTAAAATAAATGTAATACAAAAATAAAAAAAACTTTTATAATACAATATATATATATATATATATATATATATATATATATATATATATATATATATATATATACATATATATATATATATATATATATATATATATTTATATATATATATATATATATATATATTTATATATATATATATATATATATATATATATATATATATATATATATATATATATATATATATATCATACATAGTGGAACAAATTTACTAAACAAAAAAAATGAAATTGTATCTCAGTGTCGACATTCAAAGAAATTCTTGCTGTCTTTATTTGATACAAAAGACTAGTAAACTATAACGGCTTCTTGTTTTGTGTTTACTTATCACGTCAGAATCCGTTCTACGGTATTTAATTTTAATTTTAAGTTTTTTAATAAACGGTTTTTTGACGTTTTTTGTTTGTGTTCACGGCTGATAATTGCCCTTGGGTATGAAACTTGAAGTCCCGCTATTTAGTTGTTTTTATTCATTTAATTACATAAATAATAAATTGCTCTATTATTTGATAATATTGAGCACTGTTTTTGTATTTTACACCGCAATACTAATCTAACTTATATATATATATATATATATATATATATATATATATATATATATATATATATATATATATATATATATATATATATATATATATATATATATATATATATATATATATATATATATATATATATATATATATATATATATATGATATATATATATATATATATATATATATACATATATATATATATATATATATATATATATATATATATATATATATATATATATATATATATATATATATATATATATATATATATATATATATATTATACATATACTTCACATTTATATATAAAAATATATGCATATGTTTAGTTATTTTTGTATAATTAGTTATACATACTATAGCGTATAAACTATTATAAACTATAGCATAATTTTTTTTGTTTATACAATATAGCATATATTTAAACTATTGTAAATACGCAATCAAACGCAGCTTTCGTAAAAGATAATATTCATTTTACCAACATTTCCACTAAATATTTTCAAATCTTTAATACTAGCAGGTTGCGCTTCATACCAAGGATCTGCACAGTACACTTTAACATTTTTAAACGACAATGGATAGTAGTTTTTGATGTCAATCTTTAAATTCCCATCTACATAAATTCTAAAGAAGAATTTACTGTTAATTTGAACTTGAGATATTCTAATGCTGGACCATTTATTTAAGGGCAGTGCTTCAGGTATGACAAATTCTTTATTATTATATCCATTGATTGTAGTCCAAACAGAGAGCTTTCCATTGTTATAAAAATATACGCTAGGAGTTCTAAATCCAAATTCACCCGTGTCTCCTCCAGTAGTCAAATGAATGATGCTTTTGTATTCTGGTGAATACAAAGTGGGTTTTATTTTGAACGACAATAAATATACTTTTTGGAGGAATGTTAATGTTGCAATTAGATTATCTTTTTTTAATTGCTCTTCATGTATCACTTCAACAAAATCTATGATGACAAAATGATTTAATCAAAAAGTTTATTCTGTTTTGATGTTTTTATTAGAACATTTTTTTTTAAGTGATAAAAATTAAGCATCAAAGTTAAAACTCAAAGAAAATTAAATTTTAATTAAAAATACTTAACTGCTCTTAACTTTTACATTATGTTAAGATACAATCATTGAGAAAAACTATTTTATTTTAAATTTAAAAATTCATTTTATAAATTTACTTGAAATTTTAAAAATAAATTTAATTCAAATGCATATCTTTTAAAAAATATTTTTTAATCTATTTTGTATTTTTTTGACAAAACAAAATTAAAAACTTGTAATTAGAAACTTCAGACTGGTAATAAATAAATTTTTTTTGAAAACCTTGTTTTAAAACTCTCTAACATTCTTTACACCTTGTGATGTCTTTGTCATAACTTAGTTTTTTTGAATACTTCACTGAAACTTTTTGAGTGTTTCGTTTGGTGAAAAGTTACTCATCACCTTGTATTAGTTTTTTAACCATAGTTAATTTAATTAAAAAGCAGCTTATATATATCATAGTATCAACTCTTTTCAATTTTTTTTTTTAATAAAGTTTTAATAAATTTCCATAAAACAATTTTTATAATAGAATTTAAAATATTTGTGAAGCGTTGCAACATTTGATATGTTTTAGTGATAATATTAACAATGGACATAAAACAACAGAATTCTCTTTGAGACTGTTGAAAAAACTTGAAACCATTTCTTTCTTTTTTGTTAGTTAACAGTGATAAAGTTACCGAACTTATTCTTCAGTTGGTAACAGTTAAAGTAGAAGAACTTCTACAGTATCTTCCAGCAAGAATTTTCTGTGTTTCTACCTAGTATCCTTTACTCATATTTTTATAACAACCCTACCCATCCAAAGCTAATATCTGAAGACATAATTAGTTTTTGATTAAATTGTAAAAATTTAATTTATATAACTGGCTCTTTTCTCCACACCATACAGCAAACACACAATCTGAGGCAAGGTAGCGAAATAGGAGAGAGGTAATAATGGGGTTTTCGCATGAAGCGTGTTAGAAAATTATACAATCAAGGAAAAATCAAAAAGCTCATAGATTTAAATATTAAAACACTAAGAAAAAACACATTGTTTTCTCCTTTTTATTATATTTGCGGAGGTGAGGAGGGCGAAATCAGCTTGGAGAGGGCACACTCACTGGATACAAAATTTAAATGTGATTTTTATGAAAAATTATAATTTAATAGTCATAATTGCTTTGTTATGTCTTTAGATTATCACTAAAATGCTAAATTTTTTAATTAGTATCTTGATTGATTGTTTCCTTTGATATTATGTTAATAAACTTATAAACCTTATAACATTTTTTAAGTTACGTACGTCTCAACCGCTTTCAATTGTTAAGGAGGTTATATTCTTTAACTAAAGATTAAGTAAATAAACTTGATTATGCAGTAAATGTTCGGTTAACATTGCCGTATTGTTAGATATCATCTTTATTTTATTTTTATTGTAAAATAGCTTTGTCTCAGTTGGTTACTTTTTCACAAAAAAAAAACTCTCAATTCGCTCAATTGATTTATTTTTTAACATTTTAAAGTGTCACCAATTGAGGCGTAACGTAACTAAATCTAGATTTTTTTGATGTTACGTTACGTTACACATTAAAACAAACAAAACGTAATGTAACGTAAAAAAATTAATCAAATTAACTAAATAATTAGATTGCTTATATACCTTTGATTGCTCAAGTTATTTTAACTTTTAAAGGTACTTTTTTTATGTTTTTTAATACGTTAGTTTTAAAGCTTTAAAAGTTATAATAATAATCAAATAGATAAATAATCAAATTAATGATATACATTCCCTACGACATTTTAAAATTACATATTGTAATGTAAACAAGATTCGTTACGTTACGTGCAAAATGTCCATTATTTTTACGTTACCAAGACGTAATATTTTATGTAACGATACGTTACATTGTAACGTAACGTTAGGTGCTAAATAACCGTTATTTTTAAGTAACCGAGACGTAATAGATTAAGCATCGATATGTAACATTTTGATTGTGAAGTTGGATAAAAATTTACAATGGAACTTTCATATAAATTCTAATAAGACGTAACATTTTCACTTGAGGTATGTTTCTAATTTTGCGACTTATATTGCGTTTATAGATAGTTTATGTATGATATTATATCTGCATTAGAAAATATCTATACGCATATATAAATATGTGTATTAAGTTTGTTCATTGATTATATTGAAGACATACATTGTACATATATCATAAATATTATGATAACAGAGATAAACTAGGACTAAAATGTAAACAATAAACAAATGGATAGTTACAAGCAGTTACACTACACACATAAATATAACCCAGCAAGCATTTGTTTTTTAAAAGTTAAGGTCTAAATGTATTTTAAATGTCCTTTAAACGTCTTCTAAACATTCTTACGTAAAGAACGTTTAAAAAAAGTTTAAAAGACGTTTGGAAAACATTTAGAATGTAACTTTCAAAAAAAAAATGCCAAAAGTGAATGTTTAATCTATGACTACAACTAAGTATTAGTATTACATTGGTATTGTGGCTTATCCTTCTCCGGCTATATGCCATACAGAGGCCAACATTACCAAGGTCCGCAAATACTATTTCAGCTCACTAAAGAGCATCATAACCCGCTTAGCAGACCAAGAGTAAGTGATTTGAGAAGAACTAAGGAATTAGAGTGAAAGTCAGAAGAAGTCGATTCAGAAAGATTGCATACAGAAAGCAGACAGATATTGCACTAGATGTTAGAATGTGCAATATCTAAATAATATTGAATATAAATAGAATACTACTAATAATGTTACCTAAATTATGAGGCGTATGCCTCAGAACCTAAAGGTTCATAGTTCAAGGACACCTCTGGGCAAGTTTTATAACATTGTTATGGAAGGAGGCGCGAACTTTCTTTCAAAATGAACTTTCTTTCAAAAAAGTAATATGTGGTGGGGATAACAATTTAGAAAAAAAATCTAGAATCAAGCAAAAAACAAACGTTACAGAAATTCAAAAGAGTACGACAAAAAAAAAAAAAGGTAAACTCAAATGCATTTAGTACGTCATTGCATAACATATTTAGTCGTAAAAGCCTGACAGAACAGAAGTAGTTGATTATATTAAAAAAAGTGTTAATGTAATAGCTATACTATTTTGAACAGATGTTTAGTGATTCAGCAGGTAATTATGAGAAGAGAGTAAGAAAAGTATATCCGTCTTATCCTACTACTAATTGAATTTTTTCGTTGGGAGTAATAGTCATAATTTTAGCGGCGAATATTGTAAAAACCAATACAACTATAAGTAATTGCTATACTTGTGATAAGAATAATTAGATTTAGTTAACAGTTTAGGTTCTAGCCAGATTTTTTAACTCTACCTTAATGTTTTTTTCATTATATATGATTCTAATTAGTCGTAAAGCCTGACTAAGTAATATACAATTTTTTGGTCTTGAGGATGGAGTGAGTACAATACATTATAAATCTAAAGTTATAATGTGTAACAACAGCAATCAGCAAAAAATGTAGATCATTTATAAATCGCAACGGATATATTCATAATTAACGTCGTTTGGAAGATTTAAAGAAATTTCTTTTTAAATCGAACCAACAAACAATCTAATCTAGCTTCAATATAATTTATCTTTTTTTCTCAATATTACAAGTTAATGACACAATTTCATTATAAGGTATTGTATAATGTATATGTATATTATTAACAAACAATTAACTCATCAAAATGATTGAAATATGTATATAAATATATCGCTTCTTTGCCAAATGACTAAGATCAAGTGTAGTATCTTATTTGGCTAAGGACTACCTCTCAATTGGTTACGGTGTTGTTAGAAAGTATAAACAATGCAAGATCAAAGCCGTAATAGTCCTTAGAGGTTCTTGACGTAGCTGCTTTTTCATTGTCTCTTTTTATGTCCGGAAATCTCAAAGCGATTTGTTCACTCCGGACGTTAACAATTAAGTTGGCGCTCTTCCGCCTCGGCTAAGTGGCAACTAAAAACCCTTAAGTGGAGTTTCGGCTCCCAAATAACAGCACCTTCTAGATGCCCTGTGTAAGTTTGGTTTCAGCAGCAGGTGTCTCTAGTTGGTCGGTAATATATATATATATATATATATATATATATATATATATATATATATATATATATATATATATATATACATATATATATATATATATATATATATATATATATATATATATATATATATATATATATATATATATATATATATATATATATATATATATATATATATATATATATATATATATATTAATGAAATAAGAACGGACACTACACTTCATCTTAGCCATTAGGCCGAGAATGCATCTCGGCCTAACGGCTAAGATCAAGTGTATTGTCAATAGAGGTTCCTAGTGTAGTCGCTTTTTTATTGTCTCCTTTTACGTCCGAAAACTTTTGAGCGATCCGTTTACTCTTGACGTTAAATGGAGATAAACTGTTAAGTTGGCGCTGCTCGGCTGTGTGGGAATTAATAAGCCTTTATGTGGCCAAAGACGGAGTCTTGGCTCTTTAATAACACCGCCTTTTAGAGCCCAGTGTAAACCTGGTTTCAGCTGCTGGTGTCTCTAGTTGGTTGGTAAAAAAAAATTATATATATATATATATATACATATATATATATATATATATATATATATATATATATATATATATATATATATATATATATATATATATATATATATATATATATATATATATGTATATGTATATGTATATATATATTTATATGTATATGTATATGTATATGTATATATATATTTATATATATATATATATATATATATTTGTATGTATTTAGGTGCTCCCAGAAGTCCTTACGGTCTTATCATAGAGCACTGCGGGAGAACATTTAACAGGAAGTTCACGCCTCCTATATATATTTCATATATATATA